CCAGCATGTGCGGGTGACAGCCAATTGATATGTTCCTCTCATATCGATGTTTCTCTTTCTCTCTCCCCCTTCCTCCTCCTCCACTATCTCTAAGAAGATCAATGGAAAAAATATCATTGAGTGAGGATTAAAAAAAATAAAAGTAGAATCCTCAACAAAATTCTAGCAAACCGGATCCAGCATTACATTAGAAAGATCATACACCATGACCAAGTGGGATTTATTCCAGGAATGCAAGGCTGGTACAATATCCGCAAATCAATAAACGTGATACATCACATAAACAAGTTGAGAGACAAAAAAATCACATAATCATATCGATTGATGCAGAAAAGGCATTTGACAAAGTCCAACACCCTTTCTTGATAAAAACTCTCAGCAAAGTGGGAATAGAGGGATCATACCTCAACATAATAAAAGCCTTATATGACAAACCTACAGCCAACATCATACTCAATGGGCAAAAACTAAAACCATTTCCCTTAAGAACAGGAACAAGACAGGGATGCCCACTTTCACCACTCCTGTTTGACATAGTACTGGAAGTGCTAGCCAAAGCAATCAGATAAGAAGAAATAAAAGGCATCCAAATTGGAAAAGAAGAAGTAAAATTGTCATTATTCACAGATGACATGATACTGTACTTAGAAAACCCTAAAGACTCCATCAAAAATTATTAGACCTAATAAATGAATTTGGCAATGTTGCAGGATACAAAATTAATGCCAAGAAATCTATGACATTTTTATACGCCAATAGTGAACTTACAGAAAGAGAAATTTTAAAAAAATCCCATTTACCATTGCACCAAAAAATTAAGATACCTAGGAATAAACTTAACTAAGGAGGTAAAAGACCTCTACTCAGAAAACTACAGGACATTGAAAAAAGAGATAGAGGAAGACATAAACAGATGAAAGAACATACCGAGTTCATGGATTGGTAGAATCAACATCATCAAAATGTCCATACTACCCAAAGCAATTTATAGATTCAATGCACTGCCCATTAAAATACCAACAGCATATTTCACAGATCTAGAAAGAACTCTCCAAAAATTCATCTGGAATAAAAAAACAAAAACAAACCCGAATAGCTGCTGCGATCCTGAGAAAGAAGAACAAAGTAGGAGGGATCTCAATACCAGATATCAAGCTGTATTACAAAGCCACTGTTCTCAAAACTGCCTGGTACTGGCACAAGAACAGACATATAGACCAATGGAATAGAATAGAGAACCCAGAAATCGACCCAAACCACTATGCTCAATTAATATTTGACAAAGGAGGCAAGAACATGCAATGGAGTTAAGACAGTGTCTTCAATAAATGGTGCTGGGATATTTGATCAGACACATGCAAAAAAATGAAACTAGACCAGCAACTTACACCATACACAAAAATAAACTCAAAATGGATATAGGACTTAAACGTAAGACTGGAAACCATAAAAACATTAGAGGAATCCACAGGTAGCAAAATCTCAGATATATGCCGAAGGAATTTCTTCACTGACACAGCTCCTAGGGCAATGGAAACTAAAGAGAAAATAAACAAATGGGACTATATCAAAATAAAAAGCTTCTGCACAGCAAAAGAAACCATCAACAAAACAACAAGAAAAGCCACTGATGGGAGAACATATTTGCCAATGATATCTCTGATAAAGGTTTAATCTCCAACATTTACAGGGAACTCATACAACTTAACAAAAGAAAGATAAACAACCCAATCAAAAAATGGGCAAGGGACCTAAATAGACACTGTTTGAAAGAGGACATATATAAGGCTGAGAGACATATGAAAACATGCTCAAAGTCACTAATCATCAGAGAGATGCAAATCAAAATGACAATGAGGTACCATCTCACACCTGTCAGAATGGCTATCATCAACAAATCTACAAATGACAAATGCTGGCGAGGATGCGGAGAAAAAGGAACCCTCGTTCACTGCTGGTGGGAATGCAAACTGGTGCAGCCACTGTGGAGAACATATGGAGTTTCCTCAAAAAACTAAAAATGGAACTTCCATTTCACCCAGTGATCCCACTTCTAGGAATATATCCCAAGAAACCAGAAACACCAGTCAGAAAGGATATATGCATCCCTATGTTCATAGCAGCACAATTTACAATAGCTAAGATTTGGAATCAGCCTAAGTGCTCATCAGCAAATGAATGGATTAAAAAACTTTGGCACATCTACACAATGGAATACTATGCTGCTGTAAAAAGGAAGGAACTCCTACCATTTGCAACAGCATGGATGGAGCTGGAGAGCATTATGCTAAGTGAAATAAGTCAGTCAGAGAAAGATAAATATCACAAGCTCTCACTCATTTGTGATTATAATGAACAACATAAACCGATGAACAAAAACAGATGTAGAGACAGAGAAGCATCGATCAGATGCTCAAAACTCAAAGGGAAGGTAGGGGAGGGTGGGGGTAAGGGGGAGAGATCAACCAAAGGACTTGTATGCATGTATATAAGCATAAGCGATGGATGTGGACAACAGGGGGTGAGGGTGAGGGCAGGATTTGGGGGATGAGAGGACATTGGGGGGATAAGGACACATTTGTAATATCTTAATCAATAAAGGGGAAAAAAATAAAAGTAGAGTCAAACTCCCCTTCCTCTGAATATGAGCCAGCCTTTGTGACTCGCTTCTAATGAGAGAATGTGGCAAAAGTGTATAACTTCTGAGGCTAGGTCATAAAAGGCAATACATCCTCTCACCCTGACTCCCTTCCTCCTTTGTTCCCTCACTCCCTCTGTGTCTGGATGTTTGCCCTTGGAATGCAGCCAACCAAACCAAGCAGCCAAATGGTGTTCTGAACAGGGCCTCAGCTGAGAGCCCAGATGCCTACCAGCATTGACCTCCTCACTTGTGAGTTGAGTGAGCCTTTAGGTAAAATTATGGTCACCCGTCTTTGAGCCACCCTGGCTGATGCTGAGGGGAGCAGAGGCAAGCTCTGGCCAAATTAGAGATTTATAAGCAAAATAAATGCTCTCATTATTTTAAGCCACTAAACTTTGGAGATTTTTTTTTCATGCAGCATAGATAACTGGTACCCCATGTGATTCTTAAGATGCAGAAAGTTTGGGGACCTCCTGTACTCAGGGTGTGCCCCCAAAATGTATACACACTTTGAATAATTTTTACTTCCAATGGATTAAATTTGAAAAGAAAGAAATATCAATTGAGCTATCAGCTGTTAAGTATGTATACATTTTTGGGGGACACCCTGTATATAAACTATACTAAACGTACCATTAAGTTCCTTGAGGTCAGGGATTAAGTCTTAATAGCCTTCAGATCTTGATCCTTTTTGTCTGAAATAGCTTCATTAATTTTCTTATTTTAAATATAAGAATAATACATGTGTGACATAAAATTACAACAATATAAAATGCATAATGTAGAAGGCAAAAGGGCTAGGAAGTCTCATGCAACCTTCACTTCACCTTAAGCAATAACCAAGGTCAAAAGTTTGAAAGAGCAGTGTTTTCCACATAGCAGATGCTTGATGGATTTGTTATTGAAGAAAAGGTGACACTGTAGATTACAGAAACCTCTTATTGATATTTAATTATATCCTAGATATAGCTCCCAGAATTACTTTCTTCAAATACTTACCATCCTTTTCTTAATGTATTGTAGCTACCTATCAATTAACAAACTGCTAGTGAGTAAAACTACCATCTTCCTAAGCTCCTCCTCACTGCGGCATCTTTATTGAGCAAAGTCAATGTATTTGCCATCATGGTTTCTTATTTACATACTAGAGGCCTGGTCCCTTGGCCTGGCCTGCACCTTCTCATAATCCGGACCCCTCGGGGGATGTCAGACTGCCAGTTTTGGCCCGATCCCTGCAGGCCAGGCTGAGGGACCCCACTGTTGCACAGGGCCTCTAGTATGCATACTAGATCTGTGGTTCATCTCTTCCTGTCCTCTCCCCTCCCCCCTCCTCCCTTCCCTCTAAGATTCATCAGTCTGTTCCATGTTTCCATGCCTGTGCGTTGAGCGTTTGCCCCTGGTGGTCAGTGCACATCATAGCTACCAGTTAAACGGTAGCTTAGGCTTTTATATATATAGATAGTATTTCTTCAATACTTGTTGAGTATCTACTATGTTCAAGTCACCATGCTATACACTGGGGATACAAAATAAGCAGGAAAGGGGCCCTCATATCAAAGAACTCATGGTCCAGAGTAAAAGTCAGCAAACTTTTTCTTCAAGGGTCAGATAGTATATATTTTAGACTTTGGGGGCCATATGATCTCTGCTGCAACTCTGCTGTTGTAGATGAAAGTAACCATAGACAATACACAAATGGTCATGGCTGTGTTCCACTAAATCTTTATTTACTAAAATGCAGCCAGTGGCCAATAGTTTGCCTACATAGTTTGTAATGTTCAACAGAACTTCATGCAATGATGAAATGTTTTTGTGATGTCCAATATGGTAGCCACCAGCTACATGTAATGAAATGTGGCCAGTGCAGCTGATGAATTGAATTTTAAATATTATTTAATTTTAATTAAAATAGTCATATATGTAGTAGCTACTATATTGGACAACGCAGGTAGAGAGAATGCACCTTACATTCCATTCCCTTCAACTAAATCAAAACTTGCTTTAAAACTCATCTCAACCAGGAAGCCTTTGTGACTAGCCTCTGTCCATGATGGTCATTCTCTCTCTTACTCTTACTTATTTGGGACTTGTGACATTTTGCTTGGTAATTATGTGTTTTATAATTATCTTTGAATTGGTTAACTTTTTCTTTCCCCAACTAAACAAAAATTCAAAGATAAAATGTGTCTCCTGATTATTATAGTCCTCCTCCTTCTCCACAGTGCCTATATAGTGCTTAAAATACAAAAGGAGCTCAATAAAGCCATTTGATACCATGTGCTTCCTTTACTGATTTCCCTGACAGGTGGTAATGTTTGCTCAAGACAGATGGTCCTTTTGGACCAGAATCAGCACTTACTTGGAGAATATTTCTACAATAGCCGATGACTTGTTCTTATTGACAAGAGAAAGTTCTTTGGCCGTTACCCTCAATGATAGTGAAGTCCACTGCCGTCGATTAAATGGAGTTGATTCCATCTTGTCTACAGATACTGAAATACCTAGTCAATAAAGAAAATCAGAATATTAGACATAGAAGAGAATTCTCCAGCATCCAAGCACTGGCAGTGTTATGTTGAGAGCGAGCAGAGAGCCTCAGACCAGCAGACCACACTCTTCTACCGGTTCTCTCAAAAACCATAACCTTGGTCAAATGATTCAATGTCTTTGGGTTGTAGTTTCCTGTAAAATGAGAAGGTTAGACCAGATGATCTCGAAGGTCTCTTCCAGTTCCATCATTTTATGACTGACCCTACTGTGCAAACATCGATTGGCCTTTTCCTGAACTTAAGTCTGTTCCAAAGTCACATTAGGAGTGAAATGTTCCACTCTTCTGAGTTACATCCCAGGGGAGGTACAATCAGTATCTCTGTAGACTCAGGTCCAAATTAGGTTCTACCTACATCCAAGTTTCTTTTGGCTGCCCTCTCTCCTCAAACCCTGTAGCACTGACTACTTGTTGGGGGAAGAACTGGGGACAGAGTGTGGATAATATAAAGAGCAAGGGCTTTAAGGCAAGATAGACTTCAGTTAAAATCATAACTTTGTTACCTTAAATTATATTATCTTTCCAGTTTTAGTTTCTTCAGTTGAAAAAATGAGAATACTACCTACCTTTATAAGGCTTTTGATATAGATTTAAGGAGGTAATATATTTAAAATACTAGGTATGTTACAGTAGTATTAAGAGCATTTAAAGTATAATATATTAGTAATCGCTTTTGTTATAATTATTATTATTTTAAGCCTTTTAACAATTGGGGAAATTATTAGTATAATGACTTTAAATTCAGGGGGCTAAAACCTCTATACTTAAATTCTTTCCTAAAATCCTTTCAAGTCAAAGACTGCATAAAACCCTTGGTATCACCTGGTCCCTACTCTGATTTTGTTTGTGTGTTTTTTTGCCCCAGTAATTACCAAAGGAGTTCCAACCTTTGTCCAGAAGAGGTGAGATTAGAAATGAGTCAATAGTTTCCTTATTTAAAGAGTGAAAAATATAGATGAAAGGACTACTTGCAGCTCTCTTTACAACTGCAGAGCATAACTGATCTGGTAGAATGTATGGCTCGGGTACTGCTTCCAACAGCCTTGACAACAGCAGAACACACCGTGCGCTTACCCAAGCAACCTGGGCTTCCATTTCACACTAAAAGTCCTGTGATACAAAGTGCGTGATAAGCAGCCCTAAGAGACCGAGCTTCTTTTTCACGTGTAGTATTTGTTTTCCCAACTAAAGCTCTATCTGAAAACAACACTAGTTTTGCTATTTTTGTTTACTAATTTGTTCTAATCCCCAAGTTGGAACCCAACATAGAACCCTCTAATGGTAAGGAGCTCTGGTGTTAGAGACAGTTTTGGCATCTAAATGGGCGTTGGCCCTATCACTTAAAGCTGTGTCTGTCCCTAAATCTTAGATTTTTCACCCATTATAATAGTGTTTCTTCATCATATCCTTATGAGGAATAAAGAAGATAAACACCCTGACATAGAATAAGTAAACAATAAATGTCTGGTTTTTATATGATCTCTTCTTCCTGGATAAATAACCTTAATTCTATACATGTTCTTTGAAATAAACCTGAATGTATTAAATACTACGTGATATTTCTCTAACTGTTTTCCAGTCTATAACTGACAAACCCACCAATCATTGTCAGCCTTTTCTCTAACAAGAAAAATACACTGAAACAACAAACAATTCAGCTACACTTCATTATGTAAAACCACAGTAATAACCCTTTAGAAAATAATAACCAACACTTTAAAACATTTGGTACAATCATGCTTCTAGCATAGGTGTGGGTATAAATGTTGTCAGTTCTGCTACAGCGATCATTTCTGAATCAAAGGAAAAAAATACAAAAGCTATGTTCTCAAGTTTGTAAAAAAGGAAAAGTATAAATTATTTGAGGGACTGAGTATGATTAAGAAAAGGAGTTTAATTCCCAAGTCTAATTCCTTGGTTTTGATTACTCTTGTCCAGAAAGTTAAGAAAAGTCAGAACATCTATTTTGGTATAAGGCTAGGGTAAGCACACTGTATACTCGAGGAATGAGGTGGCTCCCATCCTGACCACACTTCTCTTCACAGAAGCATACTGTTATTTCTTAGCACTATAATTAGCATCCTATGAAACAGATAAAGGCAAGAATCACCTGGTATCAGGTTACTGAGTAACTACTTCCGACAGGTGTAGGGAGAGGGCCCTACCCAAATAGTGCGCATAATCTATAGGGCTTGCTAACGTGTACATGAATAATTATAGCACAAGGCAGAATGTGGTTAGAGGCAATGCATGTTTTGGAGTACAGGACCTGATTTTCTGGCTTGGTGGGTGAGACATCGGATTGCCTTGGGATTTAGGAACACAGCAGAATTTCAACAAGCAAGGGTAGGAGGAACAGCATTTCACCATTAGGGAGTTGAAATAGCACAGGAGACTTCAATGGAGTTAGACTCTAGGTGCACTAGAAGTTGAAGATATGCTATGGAAAGATAGAATGGGAAGAGCTTGAAAACTATGCTAAAGAGTTTGGGCCATATTCCAATAGTGGAGAGAACTAGCCTGTGAGTGAGCTGAGGTCTTGTAATCTTAAAGTGCCACTCCCTAGCACAGCTGTGATCTTTATGGAAAATTAAAAAATCATTTCCCTGAGCCTCATTATGTGCGTTTGTAAGAAAAGAACTCTGTAGTGAATTCCTCAGTCTCTGTGGTGGGAAAAAGAACATTTCTAAAAAAGCAAGTACCCTAATAAGAGCCTTTTTTTGTTGTTGCTGTTGTTGTTTTTAGCTGTTGTTTTTTAATCCTCACCCAAGGATATGTTTTTTATTGATTTGAGAGAGAGAGAAAAGAAGAGAGAGAAACATTGATGTGTGAGAAAAATCTTGATCTGTTGCCTTTGTACTCTCCCCAATCATGAATCGAATCCACAACCGGGATATGTTCCCTGATTGGGAGTCAAACCTACAATCTTTTGGTGTAGGGGACAATGCTCCAACTAACTGAGCTACCTGGCCAGGGCAAGAGGCATGTTTTAAAAAATGATTCTGCAGCAGTGTGTAGCTTGAGAAGAGGAGAAAAGATTGGGGTGCAAATTACTAGTCAAGAAGATCCTAAAACTGTCTAAGTGATAGGTAATCAAGGTTAAAATCAGAATAGGTGGAAATAGAAAGGTGGAAAGAGAGCCCTGGCTGAGTTTCTCAGTGGTTAGAGCATCGACCCGGGGACAAAAGGGTGGCGAGTTCAATTTCTGATCAAAGGCACATACCTCAGGGGCAGGTTCAATTCCTGGCCCTGGTCTGGGTGCATGTGGGAGATAACCAATTGATGTGTCTCTCACATGTTAATGTTTCTCTCTCTCTCTCTCTCTCTCTCTCTCTCTCTCTCTTTCTCTCTCTCTCTCTCTCTCTTCCTCCCTTCCACTCTCTCTACAAAATAGTGTGTGTGTGTGGGGGGGGGGGGAGGGAATATCATAGATGAGGATTTAAAAAAATACAAAAGAAAGAAAGATAATTGATTGTTCTTAGAATAACAAAGGATTTAGGATAAAAGAAGGAATCAAAGCTGGCACCATCAAATTTGAATAATGTTGAATGCTGATGCCATTAACAGAGAGAGTGAATATGGGAAGAAGAGGGAGAATGATGAATTTGCTTTACACATGCTGAGACATACATGTCAGAATACAAATACTACTGATAGACAACAGGAAGCTAAAAATTCAAGGCTAAGGTTAAAAATCAGACTTTTGGAAGGAAATAAACATTTTAAAACATCTGCTTCTGGGAAGCACATATCTCACTTAATCCTCACAACTACTTTACAAAATTATTTTATATTTATAATGAAGAAATGGAGATTCAGAGATTTAAATAACTTTATAATGATCACATAGCTATTAAAGTAGCAGGGCTGGAATTTAAACCCATATTCTGTTTGATTCCAAAGTCAATTTTCTTTCCACTACAAGTAACGAATCATGATTAAAACCATCTTTTAGCCAAGGTAGAAAATTGGGTAGCAAAATCTCTGATACCCGAGCTGCAAACTCATACAAACTATCTTTCAATGAGAATATAGTGGCAAGCATCTTCCAAGAATAACTATCAGAAATAATCATTTGCCGAAACCGGTTTGGCTCAGTGGATAGAGCGTCGGCCTGCGGACTGAAAGGTCCCAGGTTCAATTCCGGTCAAGGGCATGTATCTGGGTTGCGGGCACATCCCCAATAGGAGATGTGCAGGAGGCAGCTGATCGATGTTTCTCTCTCATCGATGTTTCTAACTCTCTATCTCTCTTCCTTCCTCTCTGTAAAAAATCAATAAAATATATTTAAAAAAAAAGAAAGAAATAATCATTTGTTCTATCAGAGATACTTAAAGTTACCTTGGGCCCACTGAAAATACTCTCCATTGTGACTATCTTGGCTTTCATGGGTTTACATTAAAGAAAGGTATGATATCTCCCCCACATACTTTCAAATGAGGGTCCTATTCTCAGATATTAGAACAATTTCCTTAATTCCAGAAATCCTGCTAAGAGTGAAAAAGACATGTACCAACACCTGGAAAGACCCACTCAGAAGAAGGTGTTCAGTCTGGGCTGCTACAATATCCTTGAATATTTTTTCCACTGCCATATACAAATAATAACAGCAGCAGGGGATAAATGGTAATGGAAATAAGTAAGCAGTAGATAGATAAATAAATAAAGTTACAAAACAAATAGTAATAGCAGCTATCACTTATTGGGCACTTACTAACTCAACTAATCCTTTCCCAACCCTAGAGTATGATTTCCATTTTCAAAAATGTGGTTCATTGAGGTTGAATAAGTTGCCTAAGGTCACATAGCTAATAGATGTCCCAGGCAGAATCCAGTGTTTCAGACTGTGGACAAAAAAAAGAGTTCTTTGGAAAATAACCTCACAGGGTGATCTGATCATAAATTCCTAACTAGACTGGTCATGGTGGGTAATTATACGACAGGTCTATACCT